GGCATCAGGCTGCTTTGACCAACCCCGGCCCCCTTGAACCCTACTGTTTAATACAGATACAAGTATGTATCTCAAATAGCTCTGTGTCCTTATTCCATTCTGCTTAAATTAGAATTAGAAGTCTTATATCTTTCTTTCTAAGAAATGCATATTTTTAGCTTTTCTTTCTTTGTCTAACTGACGATAAATAATGTAAAATAACGTTACGTTTTAGTGGTTTGTCTGGCCTCTGGTAGAAGTGAAATGAATTGCTTGGAATATTGTTTTAATGATGTATTATTGCAATAATGTGCTGATAGTAATTCTTTCTTGTTCTTGTGTTATGAGCGTCATAATGTTTGGGCACTTTATATGGAAACAGAGAAGGCAAATTAAAACAAGTCATTAAAGTAGTGTGGTTTAAACCATCCCAGTGAGGAGAAGAAGAAGAAAAGGAAAGGTGGGATAAAATTCAGATAACAGTAATGAAATCAGTGAATGTATGTAATTTAAGGCCACCCAGTCAGCATTACATAACTGAAGGAATTTGAATCCAAGTTTCCTTGCTCCAAGGAAAACAATTCTTTGGGAGAGATCCCTCACCTGCTCTGGTTTCTGAAAGCCAAAAGCTGTCACTATCCACATATAACTGTCATTCTTGCAGACTAACTGCGGTTTGCTCCAGTCAGAGTTCAAGAGAACGTTGAATGAAATTGTTTTCAATGACTGCAAGCTGCTCAGTATCCCAGTTGGTGCTGGTTTAATTGGACTGAGGATTGTATTCTCCTTCAGCAATCACTCTGTAATAACAGCCAGAGATGATCTGTGTAGGCTGTTCTGTAGTTTAGCCAGCTGTTAGTACTTTCAAGGGCAAAAATATTGACACGCATACAGGTGAAACAATACAGGCCCATTGCACTGCATATTAATATCTCCTTCTTCGTTGTTGCAACAGTTTAGGGATGCTCATCTCGATAGAAACATTTACTTGGCAGATGGGGTCAAGATCATGTCTATTCCCCTCCCTTTGACTTCCATATATCTGAGTGAAGCCTTACCCCCAGAGGAGTCATCCCTAGTCTGTACGCTGTTACCCGCCCAGAGTAGTCTATATGACTAGATGGGCGGGCTATAAATGTAATAAATACATAAATACAAATACATAGTCTACATACAACATCCTATACATAGCAGGGTATCTTGCACATCTCATCCGTGCATGAATGCCCAGGAACAGGGCCAGTAGGTGCAAATCATCCTCCATTTTTATGCCTGATTTTCCTGTAAAACAAGTGAGGGCAAGCTTACATGCCTGAGCAGCTGAAGTCCTTATTATTACAACCAGCTGTAAAAGAGCCTGGGACGTTTGTACCAAGTCTGTGTAACAGAGTCTCGGGAGGTGCAGGTCTCCTAATGGAATACATGCCATTTGGCAATATCGTCTGTTTTGTACAGAGGATTAAAGGTATGGCAACTTGCCTGCCTTTACATCTGGCCGTTGTCGCAGCACATCAAGTCTCCCTGGATCATTTCCTTACCCGTCCCCCTCCTGTTCCTATTTTGAGGTGCTTGGCCTGTGATATTCTGTGAGCCATCGTGACCCAAGAACGGAGATGGAGGCTTTCCCCCACGAATCCAGTCATTCAAATGAGAGTTGTAATTGCCACATGAACAAAGCAGGTCCCTACCTTCCCTTTGAGCGCTAGCTTGTTTTTTTTGACAGATGCTACAGTTGTGGGATTTCTGGAATATCATTTCTGTATACTGTATAAATTGCAGATGGTAAATTCTGACACCAGTCAGTTCTAGAAAGACAGTAATTCATTAGGGGCACGGATTTGTGGCACTGATGACACTATCAAACAGCTAGATAAGGAAGTAGGACTTCAGTTCTTTGCTGATAGCGTATGTTGGTTGGTTGGGAGGCAGGCTCAGTAGACAGGAGGCTGAAGACAAGAAAGCAGTGACAAACATGTCTGGTGGTTAAAAAAAGAGAAGAGGGTCTGTGTGTTGTTGTAAAAAAGGGGAAGAGTTGATATCAAAATGCTTGCAGAGGCTAGCCACAACTCCGAGCGCCCAGAGGAAACAGGACTGAGCAGGCTGTAAGTAACAAGGGCCGAAAGAGAGCAAATGACATGCACCTGAGACATTAAAAATGCATAACTGTAGAGAAATTCAGGCTGGAAAGCTCAGATAGGGAAGGAAGGTGATGTCAGTTGTTGGCAGAAACAGAAAGGACAGGCAGATGAGGGAGCCTTGGAGAACAAAGGCCAAGAAATCAAGAAACTAAGCGAGCATAAATTGCCAAAGGCAAACCTGAAAAATATGGCACAGTGTGAACAATCCACCATCTCTGCCCCACTTCCCCTCTATGGAAACACTCCCAAATTAAAATTCTCTTCTGTGTGAATCAAAGATCAAAGGACTGTCTTATAGCCTGGAAGTGGGATCTTTAGGGGGTGAGGAAAGCTCTTTAGTCACATTCATGAAGTGGTGCAGAAACCAGGGCATTGGACTCTTGTTACTTCAGGCATTCCTTCATTGAGAAGCTGGAGATACTACAAGGTGCATGGTGGATCACCAGTGTTTTGTATGTTTTCCCTCTCAACATCAGACTCTCTTAAGGATCAAACTAGATGATGCACTTAGCACACTTCTGAACAAGTGGTGTGCTCTCTTGAGTTCTGACAGACATGAGACACAGCCTGTGATTTTTCTCATCTGTGTATGTTTGCATGCTTTACTTTGTGATTGGTGTTTGGGAGGTAAGGTGGGGTTTAATTTGCAAAAGTGATTGTTGAGGCAAACAGCTCTGAGGCAATGGGTTAATTGGAGGACATTCCTCTTAATGTCTAGTTTGAATTCCAGGGACACTTTTGCTGCTTGTCAGGGAGAAAGGCAGGTAAGGGGAGGGAAATGCTAGTTAAACAGAATGCATATTTATCAAAACTGAGTCAGGTAGTGGAGTTTGATTTGGCTCTAGAGTAGAGTTCTTGTGAGATATTCTTTATCCAATTTAAAAATGGGTTTATTCTCCAAGTTCTGTTCCACCCTGAGAGAAAGAACACATTTGCACAGGCTTAGATTAAGTCAAGGCAGAAGTTGGATGTTTGGAAAAATAAAACATGATTTAGTGTATGTAGAGAACAACAGTCAAAATCAAGGTAAAGAGAGGAAGGAGAAAATTAAGTCATTAGTTCAAGAGGTTGTTCCACAGATTAACAGATAAAACCAAAGATATTATGCAATAGAGTTAGGGTTTACATAATTAATGAAAGGAAACCAGTTTCCAAAAATGTAGGTTGAATTTTCAGCATTTGTAAGAGGCAACCATTTACTGTGAACTTTTCCATCAGGGTAGTTCGCCACAACTCTGAGTCTCTACTGTGTAATCATGAGATTTCTGAATCTCTCTGGTTGGAGGCCATTAATAATCAAGATGTATGTTATAAGGAAATGATTAACTCTTGGTTATCTGGAAGTTGAATCTTTCTTGTTAGGTTGAAACGTTTCACTACTCATCCAAGTCTTGGATGTCCATCTAACGAGACTATTCAGACCAGGGGGAAGTGAAACCAACCTGGAGGATATATCAGGGATCTCCTACCAACTCTCCTCAGACTGAAGACGCTACTTGGATGAGTAGTGAAACATTTCAACCTAACAAGAAAGAAGTCCAGTTGCCATGACTCAACTTCCAGAGAACCTCAACTGGATGACTGAGAATCTTCAGATTAAATCTTGATGTAGCAAATTTGATTTCTCACCAGTGAAGAGAAGTAGCAAACCCAGAGTGTGGGTGATAGTTTTTTTTAAATAGCAATAGTCTCAAGTTCTTTGAACACCAACCCTACACCATCAAAGCTAAATCAATGTATCATCTGTGCAACTAAGGTGCTAGGCCATCAAATACCAGTTACATAGAAGTTGAAGACAGTGCTCCCTGGCTCTGGCCAAGACTGCACAGGGAGAGTTTTTCAACAGAAGTTATATCTGTGAAGTCATCACTGGAAATGTTAAGCTCACTATCCTAGGTCATTTTACCGCCAAGTAAATTCCCATAGATTAAATCTATCAGGATGCTGTAGATGAAAGAGGTAAGACTATGGCAGCTTTTGCTCCAGTGATCCAAACAGAGAGAAATGCTTGTGCACTGACAAAAGAGACAGGTGACAACTGAATCACCAGAAATATTTAAAATCATCATGAATCTTAGCCTCCAATTTGTTCTCTAAAGTGAGGAGTTGCTTTTGGGTAATATCCAGTCAGTCAGTCAGTCAATCACTCAAAAGGCCCAAACATTTGGTTTCCTGTGTTTTAAATAGTGACAATTTATTCTCATTATAGAAGAAAATATGGCTTAAGAATGTATTGGGAAAGAGGTAGAAATAAGGTTTTTTTTAAATGAATGCTGAATTGAATGTTCTTATTAAAATGAGTTTGATAGGGCTTCCCAACTTTATCACCTTTCAGCATGAAAAGCTTCTCTTAATTTTGTCTAGGCAATAGCCTCTTCCATTTCAAAGTCTGGCCATATGGCTCCTCTATTATTGCTGAGTATTTGTACCAGCTGTTCCTATGGAAGTGCAAGATAGTAAGTAACACAGGAGATTTGGGATGGCAGAAGGTGGGTTGTGATCTACCAGGAGATCTGTGGGTGATTTGCAAAACATTGGCAAAGATTTCTGACTCCCCACTGGTTAACAACAGTAACTTCAAAATGCTTTTTCTATCCCTGTTCCTCAAATTAAACTATGTCTTCTAACCGGGAGCAGATTTCTATGTGGGAACACTTGTGAACTTGGTTTGGAGTTCTGTAATTGTAGTTGTATGTCTTTTGCACCTGCTCGGATTGGTGATCTCAGCATTCTATTAAAAAACCAAGTAGGTCCCAGAAGCCTGACGTTTGCCCAGTTTGGGGCTTAGCTACTTCAATGGCATTTACATCTGGACAAACTATGTACTCATGTACTTTTTCTTCTCTTCCAAAGATTTTTTTCAACAGAAACACCCCACACAAATTTGATCACCTTGTTTTATTACAAAGATATTTCCTCCAAAAGATTCCACCACTTCCATTAAACAGCAGGTAAGAAAAACAAACAAATTCACCCACAAATAACTGGACAAGGTTAAAAATATATTACAGTGGAGTTGGGTTTCGGGGCAATAGCACCAACCCTCAGCTTCTGCTTCGTAGAGAACTTATTTCTTTTCAATGGTTGTAGCAAATATTTGGACGAAGAATTAAATAATAAAGCATATGCCATAAGACCTGTGCGCCAAGCACATCACTTGGAACACACATATACACACATACTCAGAATAGAAAGATCAGTCCCTTCTGCTGAAGGGACTATCAAGACAATGACTTTTCCACACTGAAACTGGGCTGATGATCTCCCAAATTACAGCCATCCGCCTATTTTGGGCTAGCAAAATCTGAACTCTTATCTTTGTTTTCCTTCAACTCCCCCTTTCTCCCAGCTGATGGCCCAAGAGTCTTTCTTACACATTCCTGAGTTGGCCCTCTGTGAGTAGGTGTGTAACTGGCAGCTCTTCACAGTTTAAAAAATAATAAGATTTTTTGAAGAAAAAAAATCTCTGAAAGTTAAATGTAGCCCAGCTACATTCCTAAAAGTTTCTCTTCTGCAGCCACTTACTAAGCAAACAAGATTTCCTCAGTGGGTGTAATCCTTTGTAGTTCCTTTCTTCATGTTTTATATTCCTCTTCTATTTTTTGCACAGGATAAAATTTGTATTTTTCATTATATTGATATATAAAATTAACCATGACATATCAGTTCCCCATATAATTTACTACACTATGCATTTTTGAAAGATATATTTGACAAAGCATTGCTAACTATAACAAAATTTTGATTGGAAAAAAAGTTTACTGTCTACCCAAGTGATCAGATTTTAGCCTCCAAAACTCCAGCAGACTCCCCTTTAGAACTTGCCTTTGGTGAGGTAGTGTAGTATTTTAAAGCATTATTTGTCAGTTTACAAGCCTTGGCATTCTCAGTGGCATCAGGTGACTTCATCGTCCAGGATCAGGTTCTTCTGTGCAACAGCCATTGCCATCAGGCTGCTACCTAAAATACTAAAGGGGGTTCTCGGAGAGAGGACTAAGATGGCTGCAGTTCTTTCTCACAGCGGAGAGAGAATAGCACTTCCTATTGTAATCAGTGTAAAGGCATACAGGGAAAAGTTAAGGGGAGTCATATTTAGGTCAAAATGATTTAGAGAAATCTAGGATACTGTGCAAAAGTGTTACCGCATGGTAGAAGTTGAAGCAAGAGTAGTCCATTTTTTTCTACTTTTGGGAAACTTCCAGTGGTCTTGTGTTAAGCCAACAGTAGATTTATGCTAAGCCAAAAGCTCAGGTCTATACATTCCCTCTGAAGTGGGGGAGCGGGGCGGGGAGGGGGGCAGAAGAAAGGGAAGGAAGTCCATCCCTTTGACCCTTGCAATGTGTATATTCTTTTCCTTTCAGGGAAAAGTATTCTTGAGCCAGATGGGTGTTTAGAGGGGAATCTGTCGGCTGGAGCTTAGTCTGCGCAAACATCTGGGAAGTTTTGAGAAGTGGGAACAGCTGCACTGATTTGTTCTTTTCCGACATTGTCTGCTACACAATAACAATCCCTCCAGCAAGGTAATAGCCATTTCCGTTGTGGGGGTAAAGTGCTTTCACATGTCATGACTACTTAGGAAGGAACTGCATTGTCTACTACTCTGTGGGTTCCCCACCTCTTTCCAATCTTGGATGAAGGTGTACTTATGTTTACATGTACAGTACAAAAATAAAAGGCACAAAATACATCTAATGCAGCAGACTGTGTACATTAAATGGGTTCCCTGATATTTAAAGTACACAGAAGGAAAGGGGTACTCTTAGGGGGAGTTGCTCCGAGAGCCTTTTGAAATATTCATTCATTCCTCCCCGAAGTGTTTCTGCTTTTCTCTTAAACACCTCAGCATTGTTTCCATATCCTGATCTCTGCTTTACAGGAGTCTCTCTGGGAAAATAAAGGGAAAGACAACTGCTTTGAATAGGAGTAGGAGCTCTTCAGAAGAAGCTACTACATTTGGCGGCCCAAAAACTGTGCCTCTGTCTCAAAGATCAAATAAATTACAGATGCCATGAAGTGCAGATCACATCAGGGATTTCAAGCTGTTTAGCGGACAACCCTCACTTCACCAGATGGTCTAAGAAGATTGACACGACTGAACCATCAAGCTGGTTTGTTAGTCACCATATATATACAACAGGCTACATACTGATACACAGATACTTTGAAAGGGTGTTCCCTAAAAGACAGTGCACTGTAGAGAAGGTCACTTCTAGACATGGAAGAAAGTCCAGGTTGCCACCTACGCTTCACTGCAGCATTCGTAAATATTGTCTTCCATAAGTGCAATCACTTGTTCAAATTTGTGCTGCAGCTGTGTGCGCTTTGTTGTGGGATTCGTGTCCAACGCATTCACGATCTAAAAAAATTAAGGATTCACATTTTTTAAAGGTTACCATTAATTTAAGATTTTCCATTCTGACAGTGCAATCCTATGTAAACTTACTCAGAAGTAAATCCCATTTTGAGTTTGTTTTTTTCCCCTAGAAGAACCGAAGCCTAAGAAACAATGAATCACTGGCTGACATCCTGTTGTGCAGCTTTATGCTGTGTAAGGCTGATGATATTTTCAGTGGTGGCCATTTATTGGGAATTAGAATGTTCTGATTCTGCACCCCTTCAAGATTCTGTGCCTTCTTTGGGATACCTTTGGTTCTGGGGAAGTCTTTGGTAGCTGCAAGATGAGGGGTGTGTGAAATCTTTAATTTCCAAAAATTACTGCATCTGGAACCTTTTGGAGTGGGAGGATCAAAAAAAGGCAGGTTACATACGGCCTTGCCCTGATTTTTTTCCTTAACTTTGTAAGTTACCTGTAACTGTAGTTCTTGGAGTAGTCATCTGTGAATTCACACTAATGAGCTCTTCTGCACCTGCCCAGACATCCTTGGAATCTTCCAGAACCTAAAGAGATGTTCTCCCTATGCTTACATGTAGTGAATGCTCCTCCACCCAATGGTTATCTCAGTTCCCATGTCTGCCACTGAACACGATACAATGCATGGCCCACAGATGGGAGGTTGTGTGGGTTGTGTGAATTCACAGATGACCATTTGAAGAACAATAGTTAAAAGGTAAGTAACCTGCCCTTCTTCATGGTATCTGACTCATACTAATAGATGATGAACAAACTCACTGGCCAGTGGGATGTCATGCCAACACTGAAGATATGTGTTGACACAAATGACGCATGCAGCTTTGCTCTGAGATCTACTCAGTAATGTTTAACAGACATAGGCTGGGACCATGTGGCTGCCTTACAAACGTCTGTCATGTGAACTAATTTCAGAAAAGCTATGGAGGTAGCAAGCACCCCAGTAGAATGCCTCTTTAAGGAATCAGGCAATGGTTTCTTTGCTAACTGTTAAGACAACGTAATGGCATTTAACTTCAATATTCCTCAGGAGGATACTTGAATGTCCTGTTGTTTATCTTGATTACATAGGCACAGTTTATTAGTTTTCTGAAATGCCTTTGTTCTTGGCTGATGGTCGGATTCCAAAAGATCTCCTGTATGGAGGATTAGTGCAGGGAAAGCACCCTAGAGGGAGACCACAGCTACGATACAAGGCTATCTGCAGCAGGATCGGAAGGCCTTAGGAATGGACCTCAACAGATGGGAAACCTTGACATCTGAGTGTTCAGCCTGGAGGCAGGTGGTGTAGCATGGCCTCTGCCAATTTGAAGAGGCACTTGTTCAGCAGGCTAAGAGGCAGTCCCGAAACCAGCCAAATCAGGGAGCTGGACAGGGGACAGATTGTATTTGTATCCAGTGTGGAAGGGACAGTCACTCTTGAATTGGCCTTCTCAGCCACACTAGATGCTGTTTCAAGACCTCTATTCAGAGCACGTTACCATAGTCTCTTGAGACTGAAGGATGCCTAATCCTAATTATTCTTGACACATTGAAGGCTATGTACATCTAAAGTGTGCTGTGATCTTTCCAACGCTGTAAATGGGGATGGGAAAAAGGTCGGTAGCACTAAAGGCTGGTTGATATGGAACTTTATTTCTGTCAAGGGAACTACCTTATCTTTAAAGAACTGTAAGAAAGATGTGTATGTTTGTGTGAGACTTTGCAAATATAACAAACTAGTTCCATCTGTATCTCTAAGCTCTTCTTGTCAACAGTTTACTGGCCTCAACCAGGACCATTTTAATTGTAGGTGATTCTCCAAGCTGTCAGCTTTAGTTTGTTGAGCTGTAATTAGTGAACTGTTCCATTCTGTTTTGTTATCAGATCTGTCTCCATTGGATAACTGTTGGGTGGAGGAGGCATGTGTTATGTGTATGGTTGGGGCTGACAGCTCTGGTAGATTCTGAAGATGTCTGCACAGGCACAGAAAAACCCATCAATGTGAATCGCAGAGACCACAAAAAATAACTTTTAATTCCTGGGAAACGGTTATGGCAAATGATGGCCATGTAGTACAAAGCTGTGCAACAGGATTTCAGTCACTTTTTTTCATGTCTCATCACTCCATACCACTCAGCATCTTAAATCACCACCCATTTAAGCTTATATCCCTCCATCTTTTAGTAACATTTTTCACCATTCACTGTTTTACCCCTTCAATACTTTCTAAAATGTCCCATCTTTATTTTATTAATTATTAACACATAAATAATTAATGCTCTGCAAATGTAATAAAGGCACAATGCGACAATAATACTACTGGCAGCTGAAACTCAGTAGTACAGAGAAATAAATGGAATGTTGTAAACGACATTCCAGTGTTTTGATACAAATGTACGTGATAGAACACACATTGATTCTTGTTTGAAAGTCTGCATTGTAGTTAAGAGCTTAAACCATATGTTCCTTGTTTGAATGTAACCAGAAATTGTAGTTTACCAAACTCTAGAATGATTGCATTAAGATGTACGAAAGAAAAGAGGTAGAAAGAGAGGACAGGACAGCTGGGAATGATTTTTTCTTTTTGCTATGATAAATTATGATTTATTGGACCAAGATGATTAACATTTGTACAGTGGCTAAATTTCATCCACAATTATCAGATTATAAGTAAGTAAATGTATAGATTCTTACAACAAAGCAACTGAATAGCAGCAAGCTGCTACACTGATCATTATGTGATTTTATATAATATTAGCATTTTAAAAAACTAATATTCTAGTAGAAAACCTGCAAGTTATACCTTGGTCCCGCCCCAATTACTAATTTGCATTACTTATCTCAGAGAATATATTTAGGATACTGTTGTTTTAAATCAGTGCATATTTAAGTGCTTTGGCACTTCTTGACTTGGAAGACTGATCTTAGCTACAATTTTGCTGGGTTTACATCCATGTTTTATTGCTTTCCCAGAAAATGTCATCATCATTATCTAAGATTACAATGAGATTTTTTAGCTTGATGAAATGGCCAGAGCCTAATGTGCCAGCATAGGAGTAATTTCATAAATTGGTTTGGTGAACTGCCACTAATTAACAAGTTTCCAATCTAAACTAGCATATGGCTAGGAACACAAGCAGTAACTTGTTAATTGGTGGCAATTCCCTAGTACAGTGTAGGCAACTATAGTTTCCTGGCTGTAAATCCAAAATAGAGATTCTGACCAAATAGTTGTGGCATCTATTTGTATCTACATCCATACAGCCTCTATCCTCTTGCCTGAACATGGGGCAAAATGGCAGCTACTCAAGTATCCATCCTGCTCTGGCAGGCTTCCTGCTGTGTAACCAGTTGCATTATCAATCTCTCAATTTGAGAAAAGACACATGTCCAGAAAACGCATGCTTACACTGATTGCCCTGCTGCTGCTCCATGTTTAGCCAATATATTCTGGCCTATAATGTTACCAATAGCTTCAGCTCTGCTGGTTCTTCTTGTTAGCAGTTTTAATGGTCTTTCTCTTATGTCTTTGCCTGTTAGTATTTACATACCTGACTGCGATATCTCTTGGCGTATTTGTAAATTTCAGTCATGGCAACATTGGTGTTAAACTCATTGCGATATTTCTTCATAAAAAAATAAAGCAGAATATTAATCAGCAAACAAGACATGACACCCATTCTATATGACAGAAATCAATTGCACTAAAATGGTACTTGAATTAGATTGCACTCTAAGCCAACATCAGCATATTTGAACTCTGGTTCTCTCCTAAGGTTAATTAATATATGACATACGTAACTTCCGAGTTGGGAGGGGAAATGAAAGTCTAGTGTAACCAAGGTCAGAGAGTTGATTGATTTATATGTAGTTATCTCACAAGAGCATTAGTTTAATACCTCGTATAATTTCCTATATTATCCCTTAATATCTTTTGTCTACAGGACTTTAAAAATATGTTATATAGATCGGAAATTAATGTTCTGTAAGTTTGATGAGATTAAATTACTTTGTTCCCAAATTCCGGATACTGTGCTGCTTCTGCTTGTGTCATAAACTGCTGGTATGAATGCTATAGAAAAATTATGTTAATGATACATTGGAAAAGCAGATTTCTTACCCTGGATTCCTCTGCTAGGTGTGCATTCATTTCCTGTTCACTGAGAGGTGGCATGTCATGGATCTGTTTGTAATACTTCTGCACTATTTTTCTGTACTCAGGAATTTCCTTGGCATATAATAGTTTATTAGTAGGTGAGTCCTTAAAAAAAAACACCAGAGTGAATCTGTTAATAAGGCATTGTACAAACAAGTGTTCACTTGTGGGAATTTGTATGTGAATGCACAGATGTATACATTGTGTGAGAATGTGTGTGTGTGTGTGTGTTCATGCACGTCTTATTTGTAGATGTTGATGGACAAGTGCACATCTGTACAAGAATGTGTGGCGTGGGCATGCCCACTTTAGCCATGACTGTATCTCCTCCATGGAGGGGTCTCATCTTGCCTCTGCCACGAAGCACTTTACTAGAATGCAGCCTTCAGCCCCAAAAGTGCTTCCCATTGACACACACCAACTGTACCAACAGAAGAAAGGACATTAGCACTGCCCTAGATAAGAGCTGGCAAATTAAAAATGAACCTGTCCACTTCAAATGTTAAGCTGCTACATCAGTCCCAATGCTTGCTTCTTAGCTCAAGCCACTACTGTTCCTACCATATTCCTCTGAAAATAAGACAGGGTCTTATATTAATTTTTGCTCCAAAAAAAGCATTATGGCTTATTTTCAGGGGATGTTTTATTTATTTTTTTCATGTACAACAATCTACATTTATTCAAATACAGTCATGTCATCTTCTCCGGGTTGCTGCACAAGGGTGGAGGGTGGGGTTTAACTTAACTGGGGCTTATTTTTGGGGTAGGGCTTACCGTATTTTTCTGTGTATAAATTGACACTTTTCCCTAAAACAATTAGAGGAAAAGTTGAGTGTTGTTTTATACACGGAAGGAGGCAGTCACGCTCGTGCTCAGGTGCCTCTTGCTGCCGCCTCCCAATTGCCTCTTCCAGGGCTCACGGCTCATCCCCTGTGGTGGCCCTGAGGCAGCAGGAGAAGGAGGAGGAGGAGGAGGAGACAGATGTGAAGGAGCATTCACATGCACTCCGGTGCCTCTTGCTGCTGCCCCCCCTGCCTGCCCGATCACCATCTCTAGTAGGACTGACAATGTTGGTGCCTTGTCCCCTCTGGTGATGGAGGCAGCAGGAGGTAGAGGCGAAAGAGCAGTCACACATGCTCGGGCTCCACTTCCTGCTGCCGCTGCTGGATCACCTCCTCCAGTGATTGTCTCCTTAGGGCAAGGGACAAGGCAGTGACATGAGCTGGAGCTGAGCCCCAGCAGTTGCACTGGAGAAGGTGACTGGGTGGGCAGCGAAGACAGCAGCAGGAGGAGACGGAGCTGGAGCAGCAGTTGCTCATTAACTTCTCCTCCGCCTCCATCAAGGGTCAAAATTACGGGTCGTTTTACACATTGGGGGGTCGTGTACACAGAAAAATATGGTATGTTCTGAGCATCCTGAAAAATCATACTAGGGCTTATTTTCGGGTTAGGGCTTATTTTCAAGGAAACAGGGTAATGACTGGTTTTTTTTAAACAGTGGATGACTTTTAGTCCCCAATAAATAAAGGCAGAGGATCCTCTAGAGAAGCCTACTGAGGGACTCTGCTGAAATAAGTGGCTTTTAAATCAGGGAAAGAAAACAAAAAGGGACCCACACAAGTAGTGGCCTACTGCATGCAGCAAAAAGCATATTTTGATGCTGGGGATTTATTTTCTTCACTTTACTCAACAATGCCTTCTTTTATGCAATTGTACTTCTGAAAACATTTCCATCTGCTGTCTGACCCCAGCTGACCTACTCTACCCTAACAGTTTGACAAGTTAAAAATTGTAGGTATTTCCCAACAGATGAAAAAAAAAATGCTCAGACAGACTCGAACACACACAAGACTCACACCTCTCATTAGAACTTTGCCCTGAATTAATCTTTTCTGATGAAGAGACCCCTCGTTCTTTCCAGGGTGTGTGTGTGCGTGGAATGCTCAGCTGTAGTGATTCACAAAGGCCCCTCCACACTGCAGCTTTGCTTCAGTCATGTTGTATCCATGCCAGCACTGAGAGGGATGTGATTTATGACATTCCCTAATAAAACTTATTTATGCTGGGAAGTTTCAAGAGTCAACATCAAACTCATGAGAACCTTAAGGATTATACACACAGAGAAAAAGAGAGCGAGAGCGAATTTTCTACTTAAGAGATGGGCATTGCTTTTGCTTTGAGTTATGCTCTGGGAATTTTTTTTTTTTTTTTTTTTTTTTGCAGGAACAGAATAGGGCACCTGCAAAATAGCCTGTGCTCTTAATCTTGATATATCCTCTACATTGGCTCCCACAATAGAGCTGCATTTTCCCTCTCTCCAATCTGAAATACACAACTTCATCCTGCCCATATTGGAGGCCGGCCTGCTGAGCTAAACCGGAATACAATCCCTCAAAAACCTTCTGGTTCATGAATGTTGGATATTGCTCCTGTGATTCAAAACACCAGAATATCATCCAACATTGGCTTGCACTATCATGCCCACATTGCCAGCAGGAGAATGGATGCCAGATTTCATAACAAAGGCTGGCCTGAATGTTGATTACATCCATGTCTATATTGTTAATCACTGCCTTTAATTAAGGTGCAGTCTGCTTTTAGTGCCACATTTAGTATGTACGGGAAGAGGTGTTTCTTATCCCACCCTTTCTATTACAAAGAACTATCCTTCATAACGGGTGCCCAAATGATACAGAAAAGAGATTTAGGAGCCCAGACTCTTATATCTTCTCCTGCTTGGGTTTTATAAACTAATAATATACCCAACTGATCTAGGAAGAGGGGGGGTAAACACTTCAATTCTGACAGACAGAACTCTTTAGCTATAGATGGAATAATGCCAAGCATGCCTTTGTTGTAACTGACAGTTGCAGCACTAAGGATCTATCTCATAAATCAGTATTAGGCTTCCTGGGGTCAGGAAACTTCCTGGACTCCATTAGAACACATCTTACAATACCCAGCTAGATGGACAAGAAGCAAGAAGATAGTGGAGAAAATATTCCCTCCCTTATCTGTCCAGTTGTCTGAACAAAGAGAACTAGAACTAATGTAACAAGATTGCCTCTGCTTTGCCTTAGTGAAAGAATGTAAAGTTGGTAACAGGTGAACAGATGATTTTGTTTTCAAAATCGGGTTGTTCTTAATGTGGTTTTAGAATAATCAAACAGGCATAAAATATTAAATGTCATAATGGAATTAAATTTTGTTTTTATCATGTCTTCCCCTGAACAACTCTTGCCTAAAACTGTAGTAACTTTCATTCCAACAGAGTGGAAAAAACTCTGTATCAACCTTTCAGCCAGAAATGGCCCATTTACTGAACATTTTTCAATGTAGAAAATGACAAAAAACAAAAAACAAAAAACAAACAGACAAACAAAAAACACTTGAAGGTGAAACTAAAGAAAACCAGCTGAAAAATAATGTCTAAACGGGGCCCGTAGCTTAAACTCACAAATACTAGGTTGCACTGGGTTACACTGCTGGGTTTTCCAGGACAGCACGTTCCACTGAGAGGATTTGGGTGATGTTCTAACCCAGGTGTCCACTCAAGCCTTACTTTAGCTGCCATGAGTTGTGTGCTGGTGCAAGCTGCAAAGTATTTTCTATTTTGCTCCACTGCTTGTTTTCCTTCTCTGGTTTTTTTAAACTAAAAGAAAACTGAAAAGGAAGCGAGGGACTGTGTCTTCTACATTGCAGTACCCAGATAACAGGTAGAACAACAGGTACAAGATATTAAGCCAGGGAACGATGGGAACTCTGATTTATGGGCTACAAATAGCAGGTGCCAGCATATGTCTTGTTCTCAGTAAGCCAAGGTTCCTGCAGTTCCATGGCTTAACCATGCTCACGACTGTGGTTATTCTGTAGACTCTGCCATACGAAAGGCTCAGTCCCATATTCTCATCCTCTATTTGTTACGAGGGGCCGATACATGTAAAAAGGCATATATCACTGTAGTGCAATGATAGGTTCATGTGGGAAGATATACTTCAGATACAACTAAATTGTTCTAGACAATTTAGGGCATTGCCTTGAAGGAATTAGTTAATTATAGCATTTTTATGTTGCATTTAATAAAAAAATTCAAAGCAGCTTCAGCAATAATTGGGCTCAGAAGCAAATAGGAAGCAAATACTGGTTAATGGGAGCTAAAGTCCAACAGTATCTGGAATGCCACACTTCGTTAAGTCTGATGTAGATGTTAACAGAGGAACCAAGATGTTCTGAACAGGAGCCCTTCAAAGCCACCTTCTCAAACTATCATCTAGGGGGGGAAACACTCTATAACTGTTAACAGCTGGCTGAGAACGATTTTCTGGTTGATGGTACTAAGATACAGAGAGGTCCACCAGAACCAAAAGGACATATTTTCCTAAATACACTTTGTGTAAATAACCCATAAGGTGACCAAAACTATGTCTGTCTCAAAACAGGTTGAAAGCCACATGGTGAAGGATCTTGATACATTTGTGACTTCTAGGGATTGCTGAAATTGTGATGCTACCACAAATTGTACTACTCTCTACCAAATAGAGACTAGCTAGTAACCAATGGTACATAATGAAAGCTTTTTCAAAATTGTGTTTTCCTCAATAACTTCCTATTACTTGTTTCAAACACCTTCCTACAGAATGGCAGTTTCAGCTTCTCTCATTTCTCCAAGGATCTGTGTTCTCAGGCTGTGCAAAATGAAAAAAACAGCCAAAGAAACTTGACTAACAGCCATGGTCCCAACTAGGATCGAGCCCTTATTCAGAGTACAGTCTTAGAAGGGAGGAAGGTACTAAATCCTCCAACTCTCCTTGTTGAATTACTTCTTTCTATAATAATATAGTTGTGAGCTATTCAATCAAGTCTTCGTGGCAATCCTTTCCAGGGTTTTCTAGGTATAGAGTACACAGAAGTAGTTTATCAGCGCCTTCTTCTGGGGTGCATTCTGGGACCACATAGTTTGCATAAGGCTATACACCACACACACACAAAAAGAACAAACCTGCAGTGCTTCCTGCTCCTTATCCTGACAGTAAAATAAAGCAGTAAAATAAAGAAATAAATAAAATAAATCTCAGAGCATCTTGGAGTACCAGAACTGCAATTTAGAGCATTTAAATTAGGAGTCAAGCTAACCACTTGGTCAGCAAAGTCTTCCAGAAATCATGATGCGATGACTCTGCAATTTGTGCAAAAGCTAGAAGGAGCTCTTATATTGTTTATATGATGGGTTGGGGAACAACCACAACCCTGAATTTCTCAAGCCAGACTTTCTGTCTTACCACAGGCCCTGCAAGAAGCTGAAAAGGGGGCTGACCTATGTTTACTATGCTAAGCAGTGACCCTCTTGGAAACTGGCCCATAAGCAGTAACCCTGCCATCTGAACGTGATGACTCAATCCTGGAGGTTGAGACTTCCAGTTAAAGACTGGACATGACAGTGTTGCTCCATGACTCTTTATCCCACAGCAGAATTCAGGCACCAGGGGGTGGGCTGAGCTCTGAATGATAACTGCCTCCACTCAATTTCTATAAGACAAGGAAAGAAAGAATCAACTGGTCTTTACAAAACTCTTGAATGATCATTAATCTGATGGATATGAAGTGGGACTATTTATGGGCTGTTTATTATCACAGGTTGGTGCCATCACCAATACTGCATTGATAACATCGCTGGCATTTCACAGTCAATAAAAAAAAACCCCTTGAAGAACATGTAAAAAAATACTTAAATGTCCTTAAAATATCAGTTTTATGATTGTTGCTTCACTTATTTCTTTGACGTGCACATTAACAACCTCCATCTCTGTTTCATGTTCTAGGTTGGGATGACACTAATTGCTAGACAGACAGAAGAAATATGTGACGAGACTAGCAAATGAAGATTTATCATCCCTTTTACCAGTTATGTACCTTGCCCAATTGCAGATCAGAGATGGAACAGGCATCAATGAAGGCCTGGGCTATGACAGAAAGACAGGCATCTATATGGTCAGTTTTGTCAATGTCAAATACAAACTGAGGATTCTTCAAAATGTTGACCCAAAACCTCAGAGGTAGGCTGCAGAGATAAAGATAAAATTAACAGACACAGTTATTATTAGTTCTCCACATCTACCTTATAGGACAATGGAAATAAATCGTAATAACCTAAGGGGGCAATGAAATATAAACACCAGCCTCTGGATACATTGTGCTTCTCAGTTGACATGATAGTCATCAGCACTATTTTTATTAATTTTCTAAGCTGGGGATGCATGGTCCAGACTTTTCCATTCTACTCCTATCCTACCCCCTGTTGACAAAGGAGCTCTGAAACAAAGCTATAACCAAATTTAAGAGAAAACAGTTACAAACCTCCACACAAATTGGGCATTCACTCTACCTGCATCCACCCAGGCGCAGTTACAGTTCTTTGTTGTTGTTGTCACCTGCCATCAATTTGCCTTGGACCCACTCACTGATAAATGGGTGACCTCCAGAATGTCTTGTCATTCATTCTTTTATAGACCTTCCCTCACAACGCAGGGATGTGGAGTGGAAAGGCAAAGCAGGAGCATGCATCTTGAACCCACCCAAAAGAAAGGATGCCTCAACTAGGCTAAAATTCCACTTTCACACCTTTCTATCTGGTTTAGGTCTTTGTTAAAGCACAGACAATGAATGGCAAAGCAGACTGCTTACTGTTCAGAAAGCAGACACGAAACATGTTGAGAAGGAGTTCACATTTCATTAATCTCTTGATTTTTCAGCCAATACTGCTTCTGCATTTGCCAAAAAATGTGGTTTCAACTATCCTAGCTGAGATTTATTACAATTAGAGAGGTTACTTACCTGTAACCATAGCTCTTCGAATGGTCCTCTGTGAATCCACACAAATGGGTTAGACTGCACCTGTGCAGGACTCCTCAGAATCTTCTTGAGCTTAAAAACATGTGATTAGTAGGATGTTTCCCATGGTGCACATGCTCCGCCGGCCCATAATACCTCAGTTCCGAAAATGTCTGCCGCTGTCAAGACTCTGACCAAAACAAAGCTCAAGACACTAAGTGACGGGCAGCAGGGAGGATGGGCGGGATGTGTAGATTCACAGAGGATCACTCAAAGAACTATGGTTACAGGTAAGTAACCTCTCTTTCTTCTTTGTGGCTTCTGTGAATGCACACAAATGTATGACTAGCAAGCTCACTTGCCGGAAGGAGGGCCGTCACGCCAACACTGAAGTCAGCACAGCCCTTCCAAAACTTGCTTCCTTTTTGGCCCTGATGTCCAAATGGTAGTGCATCACAAAGGTCAATGGTATAGACCATGTGGCCGCTCAACAAATGTCAGGGACCTCAATGCCATGTGACCAGGCAGTCGAAGTAGCCATAGCTCTTGTGGATTGTGCCCTAAACGCCTCTGGTGGCACCCTGCGAGCCAGCTCATAGACCAAGGTGGTAATAGAAACGATTCACCTGGAAACCATCTGTGGAGAGGCCAGAGTGTCTTTCTGTGGTCCAAAGAAGCAGACAAATAGTTTAGGAGAAGTACTGAAGTCCTTAGTTCTGGAAATGTAAAAAGACAAGGCACGACGAACATCTAAAGAATGGAGCATGTGCTCAACATCAGAAGAAGGATTAGGAAACAACGTTGGGAGAATTAGTGGTTGATTAACGTGGAAACTCGAAATCACTTTAGGGAGAAAAGACACATCAGGATATAAGACAACTGCATATAAGGGGCATCAGCCGAAGGGCAGCCAACTTGCTTGCTCTCCATGCAGAAGTAATAGCCACAAAAAACAAAGTCTTAATCAAGAGAAGTTTAAGATGAGCAGAAGCCATGGGCTCAAAAGGTGGGCAAGCAAGGGCCCGCAGTGGGGGCTGACAGGTGGGCAAATGTTACACAAGCCCCCAAGGAACGTCTTTAAAGTCAGGCGTGAAAATAAGCAGGAAACTTCTGAACCTACAGGCTGATAAGAAACAATAGTGGAAATATACACTTTTAACGTCGAGTGGGCCAGACTTTGATCAAACAGATAATGGACAAAAGTGTATCCAATGAAACTAGAACAGCCAGAAGACCTCTGGAAGCAGTAAATTTGGTGAAAACAGATCATTTATAAGTGCATAGCAATTTTGTAGAAGGTTTTCTAGCTCTGTCTAATACTTCTTTTACACTGGGAGAATCCTCCACACCGTCAGGTGAAGCGACTCCAGGTCGGGATGACAGATCTTGCCCCTGTCCTGAGTCAGGAGGAATGGTTGGAGAGGTAGTCTCAGAAACTTGGAGGTGATGGTTCTGAAGGTGGTGAACCACGGTTGACAAGGCCACCATGGGGCTATCAAGATGGCATTGGATCGCAACTGACAGATCCTGACGATCGTTCACTGAATGAGCTTAATGGGAGGGAAAAGATGAGGACATCATCCCAGCTCACCATGAAGGCATCGCCCAAAGAGTCCATGCCTCTCCCTGCATGAGAGCAATACCTGCTGCAGTTTGAATTGGGCTGGGTGGCAAATATGTCGATGGCTACCATTTCCCACCGATAGCAGATATGGGAGAATACTGAGTTGTCGAGAATCCACTCGTGAGTCTGAGTGGTAAGACGGCTCAGACGATCTGCCACATCGTTGTCCTCTGTAGACACGTGAATGGAGACTGGAAAAATATGGTGATCGTAGCACCATTCCCAAAGTTGGATTGCTAAATACAGAAGAGACAAAGAGTGGGTTCCCCCTTGTTTGTTGATGTAATACAGAGTGGTCATGTTGTACTCTGTGACCAACCATGAGAGGAAAGAAAACACGGAAAGCCTTGATAACCGCCAACATCTCTAGATGGTGATGTGCAATGACTTCTCCACAGTGGACCATAGAGCATGGATCTTGTGAGTGCCACAATATACACCCCCAGCCTATTGGGCTGATGTCCATTGTGATTTGGACTGTCAGCTGGAGAGGCGTAAAAGGTTGGCCAACTAAAAGGTGAGGCATGAACATCCACAGTGTCAGTTGACTTGCGAGCTCTGGAGTTTGGCAGGGTTGTCCAACAGAGGATCGAACGTGGACAGGTACGCCTGTAGAGAACACATCTTCAACAGAGTGTGAGGAAGAACAGATGTGGTCATCCACAGTGTCAGTTGACTTGCGAGCTCTGGAGTTTGACAGGGTTGTCCAATAGAGGATCGAACGTGGACAGGTACTCCTGTAGAGAACACATCTTCAACAGAGCATGAGGAAGAACAGATGTGGCTGAAGCCATGAGACCTAAGAGATGTTATGTGTGGTGAGCAGAAAACTTGGCATAAGGTTGAAATTGATGAACAGCTCAATTTGTCAGTTGACTTGCGAGCTCTGGAGTTTGACAGGGTTGTCCAATAGAGGATCGAACGTGGACAGGTACTCCTGTAGAGAACACATCTTCAACAGAGCATGAGGAAGAACAGATGTGGCTGAAGCCATGAGACCTAAGAGATGTTATGTGTGGTGAGCAGAAAACTTGGCATAAGGTTGAAATTGATGAACAGCTCAATTTAATTTGTGAATCCTCTCAGTTGGAAGGAAGACCCTGGCTCTGACGGAATCGAGTTGCGCACCAATATAGTCCATGATCTGAGACGGTTGGAGATGTAGGCCTGGGTCTGACAGAGTCTGAAGGGGCAAAGTTGGCATCTTCTAGCGCTTTGCTCTAGGAACCAGCGACAATCAACCAATCATCTATGTACGGAAAAACTGTGATGTTGTGAAGATGAAGATAGGCTGCTACAGGGGCCAAGCACTTTTCAAACGTTCTTGGGCAGTGGCAAGCCCGAATGGTAGGGCGCAGAACTGGTAAGCTGACCCCATGAAAAAGAAACTGAGATATTGGCAATGATGCTGGTGGATGGAAATATGAAACTAAGCATCCTGTAGGTCTATAACAACGAACCAATTGCCCAGAGAAAAGTGAAATGACAGATTCCAGGGTGACCATACGGAAACGTCTTGGATGAAGGTAAGTATTGAGTACTCTGAGATCTAGGATTATGACAGATTCCAGGGTGACCATACGGAAATGTATTGGATGAAGGTAAGTACTGAGTACTCTGAGATGTAGGATCGGCCAAAGACCACCGTCCTTTTTGAGAACCGTGAAATAGCGGGAATAGAAACTGCCTAGAATCTCTTGAGGAAGAATGCGTTGAATAGCATGCTTCCGAAGAAGAACAGATATCTCGTCTTCTAGAGCAGGTGAGTAAGCTGTGAGTTTGAGGTGGCCGACAGGAGGAATATCTGTGAACTCCAAGAGGTAACCATAATGTATGATGGCGAGCACCCACGTATCTTTGGTGATGACAGACCACTTGTTAAAGAAAGGGGCTAGTTGGGGATAATGGGAAAGGTTGGGCAGATGGTTCGGAATAGAACAGTCAAAGGTACTGTTTACGTTTCTTTGTAGGATGAAAGAAGGTTTGGCAATGTTGGACAGGGACCTGTGATGTGAAAGTAGTGGTAGCAGCAGAAGCTGGAGGAGGATTGGGCCTCTCTTGAGCAGGAGGTCTGTAAGAGCAATAGGCCTGATGGGAAAGTTGCTGATAAAATTGCTGGGCACTGAAAGGTCTGCGCCGCTGGTAACATTGGTATTGTGGCTGCAGGACAGAATAAGAACAAGCTGTCTTCTGGATCTTATGTAAATTGTTCATGACCTCATCCATTTTGTCATTAAATAGACTGACACCATCAAACGGGAGTTCTTCAGTGCGGGATTTTGTCATTAAATAGACTGACACCATCAAATGGGAGTTCTTCAGTGCAGGACCTAGCATCATCATTGATTCCCACTGAACACAGCCAAGTGTGCTTCCTGAGGGCAATAGCTGATGCTGCATCAGCAATGTGATGGGATGCTAAACGTTGTTGTTTAGTCAACGTTGTTGCTTCCAGGTGAGCATTGAGAGCAGCGGTCATGGTCTCAGGAGCAGCAACTTGGAGAACTGGCAGAACCTTGTTCCATAACTGCCTCTGATAAGCCCCGGTAGCTGCCTGATAATTTTAAACTCTCATGACAAATGAGGCCAGAGAGTAGAGCTGATGACCCAGGACATCCAGTTTCCATCCTTCTCTTTTGGTGGATGTAACCTCCAAGCAGTTTCCAGGCTGTGATTGATTGGATTGTACTATGATAGAATTAGGTGCAGGATGTTTAGTGAGGAAAGTAGTGTCACTGTCATGCGTTCTGTAATGATTTTCAACACACCTAGAAATCTGAAGAGACGTAGATGGTTGATTCCATGATTCTTTTATGAGGTCCAACATAGCTGGAATAAAAGCCAAACTCAAAGGGGGGGGGCTTATCTTGGTTTATGTTGTCAAAGATGAGGTCCTGCTTGGGAGGAGGAGATTGTTCTATATCAAGCTCCAAGGATTTAGCCACGTGGAGAATTAACTGTGAGTACGATGTAAAGTCCTCAGATTGAGATGGAGGATGGAGATCAGCAACATCTGAATCAGGAGTTGGCAGATTTGAAGGCGATTCCCGGGAAACTTCTGAAAGTGGATCCTATTCAGAGATTGACGATACCAAAGAACCCCTCACAACAGAAAAAGGAGAAAAACTCGTGGGAAACGTCAACAATTGCCAGTCTAAGTCAAAAGCCGAAATAGATTAGAAGCTGAAAATAACGATAAAGTCCATAAGTCAAATCAGAAACAGTAATCAGTCCAAAGGTCAGTAACCTAGAAATCACAAAAGGGTAGCCAATCCAAATCTGACAATCATGATCGTAAACAAATCTAGTCCAAAGGTCAAAGTACTCCAGAAAACAAAAACAGTAGTCAGGAAGCCAGACCAGGATCAAAAAAACGTGAGACAGATAACAATTCAAAACAGCTCTAGACATTGTGAAAGAGTCTGATCTCAGTGGCAGAAAGAAGGAACTGAGGTATCACGGGTGGGCGGAGTATGCGCACCATGGGGAAATGTCCTACTAATCACATGTTTTAAATTTAGAAGGTTCTCAGGAGTCCTGCGCAGGCACAGTCTAACCCATTTGTGTGCATTCACAGAGGCCGCAAAGAAGAAACTGTATCTCTTTGCTTAAGGCAGATACAACAAATTAACAACCAAATGGGATAAAATAACCTATATGGCAACAAGCATTTTCTCTTCACCTTTAATAAGCCTGTCAACAGTTCTCCTCAGATGGAAGTAACCTATAGAATGGTATGCCTTTATACAAACATCTGCAGTAACCTATATTTATATGAACATGCTGACACTCAGTTTTGATTTATTTCTGAACACGGAGCTGGAATGGCTGTTTCCCTTGTGACAACTTGAAAGCCAGCTCTTTAATATTCTCCGAGGAGCATATACTTTTCACTGCTGAGCAGTCCTAAAGCTATTTCCTGCTCCTGGGCCATTTTCCTCCAATTCTTTTTCTGCATATTCTCTCTCCTGAGAACTACCACTGAAATCAACAAGGTTTGCTGAAGCATAAGTGTACTTAAAATTACATCAGGATTCTCCTTTTGTGCTTGTTTGTTTCAAGACAAACTTTTCAGACTTAATACACTAAAAATGATTTTGTTATCTGTTTTTCCTTCAGTTTGACTACCCTTTCCTTGTAGCTTAACATCTTTCTCAGTCTGGAGTCACAAGCATCTTAGCCCCCACTGCATTACCCATATTAATAAGTCTAGTAATTAATCATAACACAACCCATGTTTCTTCTGAATCACCAGCTTTTCTTAAAGTGAGTATTTGTGCAAAGCCGAAGGAATGGAAATTCTTTTCCTCACCTGTTGGTTTTCCAAATGTGCAATGTGTCTGGGTCAGAAATACCCCGTTTCTCTGCTTGCTCTTCCAAGAAATCAAAGAAATACTTGATAGCCACTGGTGGCTTCTCGTCTCGGATGCTCAAAACGGCCTTGAATAAATCATCCAGGAACTTTTGTAGTGTGCCCTGAAGAATGAGAATATTAGATGTGGCCTAAGAAAGCAACTATTTTGATGATACATTATTTAAGATAAGATCATTTCTTTTTCAAACCATGTTGAAGAAATCTTGTCATGAAATGACTGAGAAAAGGAGGAGGCAATGTAGAGCCTGGAGCGGGAGAGGGGTTAATTTTGTGCACAGTGATATAATTAGCTTTAGTTTGCATTTAATCTCTTTTGGCACTGAGATTCTCCTCTGTTGTTCAAATTCAAGAGCACATCTGTGATTGTTCTGTGTGGTAAACAGTGGGAAAAGCTACAGACCGATGGTAACTCTTCTGATCTCTTCTCCAATTATGAATCACAAAGCACTGGTGTTACAGGCTGGCTCAAGGCCAAGCTTTGTGTTCAAATCAGTGTTGATGCTGTAAAGTGGAGTTTCTCATTGTAGACAGGGCAGTTATCACCACTGAAACAAACACTTCTAGATATTTCACCAGTGCTATACTTGAGCCTCTAGCATGAACAACACAGTTCTAATGAGTATGAAACACAGATCTTGAAGAAACATGATCACATTTCCTACAGCGTTCCCATTTAAGAAATAAAGGAGGAAATCCACTTTTGTTTGCAGATAAAAATAGCGATTTTATGCATAAATACATATATAAGCTCCATTAAACACAGTGGGGCTTATTTTTCAAGTGAACGTTTGTAAGGTCACACTACAAATATTATTTTCATTTTTTAATCAGTGAATTGTACTATCTTCCAGGAAGTATCCTAATTCAGTGAAAAAGGTCAAATGAATAAGCATTTCCTCACTGTGAGAAGTCCTCTGCTGCATGAGCAACCATGCGACCAATCTCACAAGCAGTCTGAGACTTGGCATGCAAAGGGAAGACCGCCAGAATTGGTGGAAGGATGCTTATGTGATCCCATTTCTGCAGTTGTGTAATGGGACAGAATGCTGGCCTCTGAGTGTGAAGAAAAGACCACAAATATAAAAAGTGGGACAGCACAGGTATTTCTTGATGGATCTGATTTTTGTCAGCTGTTTTATCTATCCACCAGGAAGGCAGAGTTAGTAGACTATTAAATGAGACCTTTTCAGTCAAAGGCCAAAATCAAACATTGCCCTTTCCTATACAGTGCCAGTATAATTGGGACTGCCTTCCTCTCTCCTGCGGCAGCCCTCTTTGGTGCCAAAAAACCTGCTGCAGAGGGTCTTCCAGCAACCAGACCAGGTTTGGGGGTTGCACTGGGGCCCGTAGGAGACAGCAGGCTTTGAAGATTCTGTCAAAAGTAGCAGAATCCAACAGAACTGGATTCTAGGCATAGTGACTGGGAGCGCTGGTTGATTCAAAGTGGGCTGGGTTTGTGGGCTGCCATGGTTCACACCTAGCTCAGCTTTCACATTTACCTTTGTGGAGAGCAATCTGGTCAGGTAGATTTCGGGAAGGACTTTTTTCCTATGACTCTGTCGATGAGACTTTTTGTTTTCATTCAGCTCATCTGTGGGAAGGACCTGAACAATTGCAAAAGAGAAGATTATATATATACAGTAGTAAAAACAATTTTTTCTTTAAATAAATGCTGCTACAACAACAACTAAAGAGAGGGACAGAGAGAACATTACTGCATTTTATAAGCATTCACATTATATACACTGAAACAACATTAAAAATAAATTGCCAGGTGTGCTGCTTAGTTCCTTTCTCTCTTTTCTCCCTAATGAAGGACTATTGCTATAGCTTAAGTTTACAGCAAATTCAGATGTCTCAAATACCACCAGACAAAATGTTCCTTTCTCTTCTGGCAGCCATCCTGAAGGTAACATATGTCAAGATATATATGCAGCATTATGATGAAAATTAAGATTAAAAAAATATTGAGTTCTGCACTTCTTCCTACAAAACAGAACGTGGGTTCAATTATTACCTTATTACGCAAGCAACCACAAGAGTCTGAACCGCACCTCCTCCTTTGGGGGGGGTCTGATCCGAGGCCAGCAAACTGGCTGGCTGACAAATGCATCAGTCTGCATATACATTGTACATATGGAAAGCATTCCTAGATTTTGCCTTTGACAATAAACTATGTGTGAGTAGTGCTGCCCTTTCATTATGCGCTGCTACACTGTGGGGGAGGAAGGGGCTTGTTTCATAACAAACAGATTTAGCAATTTCATTGGACCAGACCTGCTTCCCACCCATCAAGCTATTCTGCTGAAGCAATTATTTCCACAGCTCGGCATAAAGCTCTTTGTGATTTATGTGTATATGTTGATGAGATTTTCCTTAAATCTCCTATACCTTGTCCCTCACATGCTTTCTTGGTGTGTGGGTCCAATTCCCAAATAGATATTTCCTACAGAGGAAATAGGGGAGAAAAGATCTCCCCAAGGAAAAAAATATCCAGGGCCCACCCACAGTGGGAGAGTCATTATCCTGGACAGTTCTTGGAACAGGATACTTACCAAATGAAAGTACTTTTCAGTATCCAAATCTTTCACTGAAAAAAAAAGATGGGAGGAAATAAAGGAAAGGAAATGGATCAATGTGCTACTTTGCACAGCAAGTACTTTTCTAGGAGAAAATTCTTGGGCATTTCTCTGGTAATATGTAATAATAAGACATGATATACTAACTGCACTCAGTAACTCTAACCAATGAAACATTAACTAACCAAGATGACATTTACTTGGGGTCTGGTAGCAAAATCCATGTTTCTAATTTGAGGACTTGATGTAATGGTTGAGCTGAGCTGGGAATGAAGGAGATTTGGGCTTCTGGTCCCGTTCTTCAATGGCTAGAGTTCACACATGCCTAGCAATTTCTGACCCCAGCAGCAATTCATCACTGACCATTTTGTCAACTCTTTTGTGAACTCATTTCAACAGACTCTGAGAGTGAATCTGACCTGATTAACTGAGAAGAGAGATTTCATATCAAATCCCTTCCCTTGAACTCATAACTTACAACTTAATTACATAAATCTCTTTCCCTCTCCCAAACCATGTGTGTGTGTGTTTAAGGAAACTAATGTATGCAAGAAAAACTTTTTTTAAATGAGTTTGAAAATCCATAGCTGTGAGCCATAACAATGTAGTAAGAATCCATGACAGAAGTAAATCAAATAAATTTATTGTCATTGTAAGTATATAAGTACATTGTGAGTATATAAGTAAGTACATAAGATTATTCTCCCATTCCTGTCCCTTATGTTTACCAGTTTCTGGATACATTTTTACCACAAAGGATACAAAAGAGATGTGAACAATCTAACCATTTTCACTACGTAGGTTTGTCAAGGACTCTTGCTTATACAATGAATTAAAATGGGTAATAAAGTAGAAATGTCAAACATTTCTTATACTGGTAGGTAGGCATCCTTCAGTTTCGAGAGACTATGGTAACATGCTCCGAATAGAGGTCTTGAAACAGCATCTAGCGTGGCTGAGAAGGCCAATTTGAGAGTGACAATTCCTTCCACACTGAAGACAGATACAATCTGTCCCTTGTCCGGCTCCCTGATTTTGCTGGTTTCTGGACTGCCTCTTTGCCTCAGCCTGCTGGACAAGGGTCTCTTCAAAATTGGAGAGGCCATGCTGTACGCTCAGATGTCAAGGTTTCCCATCTGTTGAGGTCCATTCCTAAGGCAGTCAGATCCCGCTTGCAGATGATATGCAGATGATACCACTCTGATGGCAGAAAGTGAGGAGGAATTAAAGAACCTTGTAATGAGAGTGAAAGAGGAGAGTGCAAAAAATGGTCTGAAACTCAACATCAAAAAAACTAAGATCATGGCCACTGGTCCCATCACCTCCTGGGAAATAGAAGGGGAAGATATGGAGGCAGTGTCAAATTTTATCTTCCTGGGCTCCATGATTACTTCAGATGGAGACAGCAGCCCTGAAATTAAAAGGCGCCTTCTTCTTGGGAGGAAAGCGATGACAAATCTTGACAGCATCTTGAAAAGCAGAGACATCACCTTGCCAACAAAAGTCCGAATAGTCAAAGCTATGGTTTTTCCTGTCGTGATGTATGGAAGTGAGAGCTGGACCATAAAGAAAGCAGACCGCCGAAGAATTGATGCCCTTGAATTGTGGTGCTGGAGGAGGCTCTTGAGAATCCCCTGGACTGCAATGAGAACAAACCTATCAGTTCTAAAGGAAATCAACCCTGAATGCTCACTTGAAGGACAGATTCTGAAGCTGAGGCTCCAGTACTTTGGCCATCTCATGAGAAGAAAAGAGTCCTTGGAAAAAACCTTGATGTTAGGAAGGTGTGATGGCAAGAGGAGAAGGGGACGACCGAGGATGAGATGGCTGGACAGTGTCTGCGAAGCAACCAACATGAACCTGACACAACTCCGGGAGGCAGTAGAAGACAGGAGGGCCTGGCGTGCTCTGGTCCATGGGGTCACGAAGAGTCGGACACGACTAAACGACTAAACACACAAAACACACATTCCTCCTGCAACTGTCTGAGGGAAAGAAGAACTGTCTTTGCACTGGGACAAAAACATGGATCTGAGGTGTGGATCCTCATAGGTCCACATGATTTTTACATTGAATCTGTCTCAAACCACTATAAAATTATAGATCCCATTCGTACCCACAGAAATTATGGTCCTTCAGCTTATTGCTTTGCAGTGGCACAAAAACATGGATCCAAGGCATGGATCCTCATTATTTTAAGTGGGATCTGCTCCAAACCACAGTGGCTTAGGCATCAGGCCATTTGATTCCCCACTGTGCCTCCTTGATAGGGGTTGGGCTCCATGAACCATAGGGTCCCTTCCAGCTCTGCAGGTGATGATGAGGATGTTAATACCAACACACTACACCACAGAGATCATGGATCCATCAGCACATGGCTTTGCTGTGGTGCAAAAACATTGATCATAGGCCCCATCTCTGCCCATAAATTGGACAGTGGTTTGGGGTAGATCCATGAAAAGTCATGTGGCTCTATAAGGATCTGTGTCTTGGATCTATGTTTTTGCACCACTGCAAAGCCATGCACCCAAGATGGACCCATGATTTCTGTGGTGTCTCCTGCCAGGTCAAGAGACATTAACCTGTGAGACATCCACAGTTTATCCTGGGTTGGTGTTCTTTGGAGCTGAAAAGGGCCAGAATATTTTCAGGAGCATTGGTTTTTTTCTCCTTCCAGTCCCTAGCAGCTCTCTCTCTTTCGCTCTGCTTCTTTTTCCAAATGCTGCTTCTCTCTGCCTCCTATGGAATAGCTGGGAAATTATGAAATAGACAGTGGTGCAAGACAAAGCCTGAACTGCAAGGATTTTAAAAGCCCATGTAGCCCCCTCAACCGATATACAACAGCTAAAAAACAGATTTAACGTTTTCCAAGAGGATGCACACACTGACCCGAACACCATGTACCACATGACTTTAACCAATTTCAACCCCCCCAATCCAGCTACCAATTCATGTTCATAGTGTAACCACGCTCTGAGTCTCACTGAAATCAATTGGTCTTACTTCTGTATAGCTCTGTATAGGATTACACTGTAAGAAAAATCCATTTTCTTTTCCAGAGAACTTTTTCAAGACTTTATTTCTCAGAGAGAAAAAAAGCAAAATAGCTCTGAGTTCCTCTTTGCTGGTAACCTTTGAATTTTTCATTTCCAACTCTGAAGGATTTTATTCAGCAATTTCTATCTCAAAGAGCCACAGTGATTGCTGGAAACCTGATCTCCTTCTTGTAGGCCACTTACACAGTTAAAAGCAATTCTGCCCGGTGACTGAAGTAGGTGGAGATTGGCAGCTGATGCATTGCAATAGAAAAGACAGCTATTCAAGTCCAAAGGTCAGCAACCAACCCTATTTAGCGTCAGTGAGGAGGATGACCTCATAACATCCAGTTTGATAACCGATGCTGTATTATATTTATGGATGGCTCCAGGCCTGGGGCCAATGCAGAGCTCTGCCAAAATACCCTTTGCTGTGTTGGGCATTGCTTGGACACCCATTCTTCCCCCAATTCAGATTGCTGGCTGTCATTCAGAGAACGTCATGCATTGCAGCAAACAGGGCACTCAGTGTCTGCTCTTCTTTTCTGTCTCTGTCTGGCCATCAATCCTACTCAGTTTTGTAGAGGAGGCAAAAGGCTTTCAGATGAATGGTATAAATTACTGTGGTTTAATCACTGTCACTGTCATGGAGATGAGAATTTTGCTAAGTTCTAGTCACAACAAAACAATGTCATGACGAGGAGGTTACATCAGAGCTATAAAAATGTCTCATAGCATCAGAGGCGCTTCCACCTTGGATGGAAAGATGAAGCGCATCTTCACAGATGAGGCTTAAACTGTCTCTCAAGTGTCTCTTGAGGTAAATATGTAAACGCTGAAACAATATCATTTCAGAACAAAAAGTGGGAGAGAGACATTTATAGCACATGCTGTATTAGCCTTCCAGCAAGGTCTACAAATTCAATGGAAGCAAGAACCACTAAAAACCACTGGAAGCCTCACATGGTAACATGCCTGAGGAACACTGCTGTTCCTTATAGTAGGGATGGGTGACATGTGGCATTCCCATGATCTCTCACTACCATTATGGCCCCAAACCATTGACGGTCCAACAACATCCGGAAAATGTACATTTACCACCTCTGTCTTACTGACTGGAGGATTTATTGCAACATATGCTTTTCTAAGAAAGAGTTGTTAACTACTGAAATCCAAAATGGAGCTTGAAAAGGTCAAGAAGGTTTGGTGCATTCTCAGAACTAAAATCCAAGTCTGACAAAATTAATTTATTTAAAATTTTTTTATCCTGCCTTTCTCCTTAAAAAGAATTCAAGGCAGTACACAACACTTCTGTAGTATTTCATACCATGTTAGTTCCTTCCATCCCCAAGTAGGAAAAGCCCACTCATTTTTTTATGTAACTTCTACTTTTCCAGGAGAAACACACCAGACATCATCCTCAACATTTTTTCATCTTGGCTCTTGATCCTGCTAGGCACCTCCAAGGGACTTTACAAAACAACTTTCTACAAAGCCAAAGTTAAAAGTAACTATCAAAACAAGACCATTCAAACCAAAAAGAGTGAAAAAACTCAGAATAAACTTATTAAAAGCCAAGAAAAATAAACATTTTTTCCTTGCATAAAAATAATCAGGGGAGAAGTTAAGCTAATCTCCACTGGGAAGAAATTTAATATCTGAAGTGCTACCACAGAAAAGGACTAAACCTCAAAAATTGGAGACCCCGTGCAATCCATTGCCACATCTAGTCAATAGTTCAGTTGTTCCAGACTTTTTGGCAAAAGTTGAAAAGCAGAGATTTAGCTCATTGTTGCATACATACAGGTAGTACCCAAACCACAATTCTTTCCCTATGTCTTCATCTAGATGTTATAAACCATTGGGGATAAATTAGGGGCCTGAAGAGCCACTAGAGCCAATGATTAAGCAGCTGAACAAGAATCTCTCAGCACTGCTTTTGAAGATTATTGTGCCAAACAGGACCTGAAGCACCACAGAATGATGTCCCCAGATCCTCCACTAGGTATGGATCCTAGAAGGGCCAATCAAAGTATGTTCCTTATATATTACCCCATAGTGCTTAAAAGTGCGTTGGGTGGTTTAGAATTTAATTATGTAGGCTACACATTGCCCTCTCCCCGCAAGCTGGGTATTCAATTTACTGAACTCGGCAGGATGGAAGGCTGAGTCAAACTTGAGCCATTACCTGAGCCCACTGGGATTGGACTCAGGTCATGAGCAGAGTCTTGACTGCAATACAGCAGTTTAACCACTGTGACAGGAGGCCCATATCATTGTTGATGGTACTAAATGAAGCAGAATTAGCAGAACCAACAGGGAAACAAACTCTATATTTGCTAAAAAAAACACACCTGTTTTATTCCCCAAACTGGACTTGCATCCTTATCAGAAAGAACTAAATACTCAGTTTAATCCAATATATCGGGAAATTCAGTTTACACTCTAGAAATCTTGCTGAAAAAAGGAAGACTGGACATTGGCTGATAATATTCCATAATAGTGAGATCCAATAATGATGGCTTAATAATGGTATTATATAGTGGCCTGAGATCTCCATAGGATGGGTATTACTACTGGATCTTCTATGCTTCATCCCTGGACTTTTTAGCTAGAAAATCTCATAATTCATCATTTAATTTTCTGTTATACAACAATTAACAGTCATATTAAAAGATGAATCACCCTAAGATTTAAGAGGATGGGCATGAATTTGTGATGTCATGGTAAGTGTTGTGGAAGGATAAAGCTTCACATCTCCACTGAGCCATCAAGCTCAGTGGGTGATATTGGGCTACTGATTAGCTACTGCATTACATAGGGTGGTTGTGAGAATACACACTACCTTGAGTTCCTCGGAAAAGGTAGAAGAGAAATATAATATTTTAAAAAAATTATCTCTTGGAAGAAAGTTTGTATGCTTTACTTTCTACATGTGATGCTGAGTGCACTGATATCAGCTAAGGGCACATTACATTGTTGAATTAAATTGGGAGCCAGTTAGCATTTTTAGAAATTGATTTAACGTTGCACAGTTTTTGTACTGGTATGTGTAAGTTGTGCGGTACTGTATATTAGCACTTCAGCACTCTGGGTCCTGGTTTTCCAAGGTTTTTTTGTTTTGTTTTTGTAACCAGGAAAAATTCTTCACCTAAACCAGAGGTTACCAAACTATGGTCCGTGGACCACAACTGGCCCGCCTTTGCCTTTTTATTTGGCCCAGCACACACACATCTACGTGCATGCGGGAGTGCGCACATGCGGGGGTGCATGCCAGCATGTATGCGGGAGTACATGAATGCAGGTGGGTGGGTGTGAGTGTGGCTGTGTGTGTGCCTTCAAAAATGTGGAGCATATATGATGTGGCCCTCCTGCTGAAAAGTTTGGATAACCCTGATCTAAACCATACCTTGTTCCTTTCTTGAGATGGAGCTGACTCAGCAAATTTTATTTGGCAAAAGCAGCATCAGCAGCCTACAACACAACCCACAACTACTCTAAAAGTCATTTTCTCTGACCATTAGGAATCACCATGTCTAGTCTAAACTGTGTTTTTTAAAAAATATTTATGTTTTCAATAGAAGTTATGAAGTGGCATAGTACTAGATTGATGCAGCCCTACAACAGAAACTGATAAAGGGAAGAGGGAATAGTTCAAACTGCCGGGTATCCTGCAGTCCAAAACCCATTCCGCTTGGCACCCAAAATTCAGCAAACCCTGCAGATCACGACAGACAATATTTACTCTGGCACACAAGATCACACATGCCAAACAAGTAAAAAAATATGCAAGATCAGAATCAGTTTGAAATACACAACCCCACATAGGTGCTTAAATACTCCCAGTTCCCAACCAAAAATATAAAAAATTAGCTGTATGTTGCATATTTGAAGATTTTCAATTCAATTTCAAGTGTGTGCTATACCAATGCAAACATAAGAGTAGTACAACATGTCACTGAGACCTAAGTTGCATAATTTATAAGCAGAAAGGTGTCAGGGAACTCCACTACAATCACATTCAAACCAGAAAACCTCTGTAAAATCCAAGAAGTTACCAGCATGGCTAGTAAACAGAGTGTGTTTATGGGAAATCTATCAGGGATGGGGAAAAAACTTTTTTCCAGAAACTAAAAGTATTGTCTAAATGAGATGGAGAAAGTGGAACACAACTTGCAGAAAGGAAATGCAAGCAGACAAGTAGGATTGCAAAATGAAGGATGCAGTGTCAAGACCCATGATATTAATAATTTAAAAATCTGTAAATACGTTAGGCACATGAAGTCAGGCAGGAGGTGGTTGGACCATGGAATTAAAGGAGTACTAAAGGTGAATAAGGGGTTTTCAGAAAAACTTAGTAAATTCTTTCCACCTAAGTGCAGAAAAGAACTCTGCCTGACTTGATTTCCAGGATGGGAAAATGAGGAATTGAGGACAACAGTGAGGACATTCTAGATTTTTAACGACAAATTACAAACAAGCAAATCACAGTTCCCAATGATATCAGCAGGGAAAGCCCAGCTGAGAATGAACCAAAGCCACATCCTGCCTCATTATCTTTTTAGCGTTCTTTGAAAGTGGCAATAAACATGTAGGCAGGATCTAGCTGATGTTGTATGCCTGGGTCTTCAAAAGCTTTTCAACAACGTCTCCCACTAAAGACCCCTGAGCAAACATTGTATGATGAGAAGGGAAGTCCTCGTATGTCACGAAACCATTCGTAAGTCGAGACCCCACTGTATGTCACGAAACCGGTCAAAGAACAGGAAGCAGAGAATTAGAATAAAGGGCCAGGTCTCACAATGGAGGAATGGGAGCAATGGAAGCCACCCAGGGGTTCGTATCAGGAACAGGCACCTTTTAACTTGTTAAAAAAATGGAGTCTTACGAAGTGCAGACATGGAAGCTGGCAACAAAAACATCAAACTGACATAAGGGGAGGAGGTTGGTAACCTTTTCTTCTCAGGATGTCTATTTGGTAGAATCATACTGTCAGTTGCTTTTTTTTCCCCTGGGCCAAATGTAACCTTCATGACAGCATGTTGTAAAACAAAACACATTAAATAACAACAGCATTTCAGATAAGCCACAGACAATTGAGAGTCGCATGTAGTTTGATCTTTGGACAGTGATCTCCAAGGCACATTCCTACTCTGATTTAACTTCTCTCCTGTCCCATAAATCATGTGTGCAGGTGAAAGAAAGAGTAGCAATTTACCTCTGCTTAGCGTGGTATCTTTCTTATCTGTTAAACTCATAGCTAGGGATGCACCATCAGGGATCTGCGAGGAAAGGTACAAAATTAGGAATAAACAGCTTATTATATTGTGACACTTAAGTAATAATGAATGAAGGGGATATTTATATCTCTCAATTCTCCAAATATTAGTGGGAGAACAACAGTTTCTATTTGCAACACTTAGGCTGCATACCTACTTGCAGATTCTTGCATAATTGCTAACTGTGTGATAAGTAGATAAAATTTTCCAGATCATATGATAACCACTGCTGTACTACTTGGGTAGGGAGGATGCTGTACAAAAGCACTTCTCTCTTGCTACAGAAATTCAAACATTTCCACAAATGACAAGAAACCATGCACTGAATCTCTTATTTATTAATTAAAATATTTTATAACCCAGTCTGTATCAGCAGATCTTAGGGTCAATCAATAAAATTACCATAAAAGGATCAGGAGCAATTCAAATACTTTGGAACAATTTAACAGAGCTAGGATTGGGCCTCTTTCCCATTACTAGAGTTTAAAAAAAAGCTCTGAATGCATCCAGTAGCACCATATTGATTATAAACATTAATAAGTGGACAAAAGCTGTAATTGACCATATCATGGTCCAATCTCATGATTTCCACTCTCTTTCTTTGCATGCTGCATCAAATTTACTGAGATATCTACAATACACAAGGACCAGTCATTCTGTGTTTCAACAGAAATTTTATGTAGATAAGTACAGAGTGAAAAAGAAACAAACCAAAAGAATATGAAAATAATGCTGGCTAAAATGTGTTGTTACGGCTGCAGTCTCCAACATGATAAGGAGTAAGATGCACTGAACACAGTGAGTCTTAGTTCTGAATACGAACGCATAGGTTTGTACTCTTAAGAAACATTTCACATTTATATTATTCTTCTGTAAGCAGGCTGGGAAACATCAGATCAGAATGATAAAATCTGCATAGATTTTTCATGAAAGATTCATGAACAGCAGAAGGAACAAACTTAATATTCTGCTTGCAGATTCTTCCTGCAAGATGCCATGAATTTTTCATTATGACAACATTTTGCATGTGCCCCCTTGATAGGAATTCTTCCAAAACAGTCCCACTGATCAATCTCATACCTAGGTCCAATCAAGCATCCAACCAGGCATATGCTTGGCCAATCATAATGGCCAAACACAGTTTTAACTTGATATAATTTGAATGAAGTTGCTTTCATGACTCTTTGCATTAAATTAATACAGGCACATGAAATTACTTTGAATATAGGCTTCAGTGATCTTCTCCCACTTTAAATGGCATTCTTTTTTTTAATGAAACAGAAAGAAAAAAAAGACCATTTGTGGGTAAACCATGCTCCCGTAAGAAACCAATGGGAACTCTGACATCACTGTCAACAAGAAAGAGGAATGGTATGATATTAATTAGGATGGATTGCAGCCACTGGGAAAAGGCTTTTTTTCCCTAGCAATAACTTGTTTTGCATGAAGAGCATTTAATTAGTCTCGATGTGTTGCAATATTAACGAGTTTCTCGCCAGGGCAGATGTCTGTTCCCCAGAAGGTCTCATGGAGTTATGGCAATCTTCCTGCTTGCTTCTGCTAATCCTGCTTAGAAAGCAAATCGTGTTAGGTCCCCAAGGAATGTCAGACCCAAAGGAAGGGAAGTTCTTGGAGCATTCACACTTTTTACCTTATAATGTGCTAATGTGTTCAGTTTCTTCCTGCCATCTTCCATCACTGAAGTGTCATCAAGGTCCCGAAGGATGTAACTTTCAGTGCTTGTGGCAAACCATTCTAAGTAAAGAAAGTGGACCAAATGGAAAGCCTGCTTGAACAAAGGCTGTGTTAACAAGAACGCAAGTGATTCCTCTTGTTTATATGCTGTATTTAACAAGGGACACAGGTGTGTCAGTGGCAAGCTCTACTGCACTTAAAAGGCATGCTTGAGCCACACATTTCAAATATAGAGACCTCTGAGTACCAGTATGAAAAATCATTTCACGTTATGTCAACTAGGTGAAAACATTACAACCACAGCATTGCATTCTGATATTATGCATTTTTCATACTATACATCATACACGAATTCAGGCAGAGTTTACAGATGTCTACCATGTGTAAAAAAAAGGAAACATGGTTATAGAATTAAAGTACAGTATGCATTTAATTTCCTGGATTCAATTATATGGATTTTTAAAAAGCAAATTGATTCTCCTTTACAAAGAAGTTGTTGGTGAACACCTTAGGATATTGGTTCCCAAACCTGAGTTCCCAGATGTTCTTGGACTAGAACTCCCAGAAATCCTGGCCAGCACAGCTAGTGGTGAAAGCTCCAAGGATTTTAGACCAAAAACAACTGGGGATCTAAGGTTGGATGCCACTGCCTCAAGCAACAGTGAGTTCACTGGGTTTCAATTGGTAGAACATAGCTTGAGAATGATAATGTAAACAAATCTAAATTTACTTATAACAATCACATCCCACTGTCTGCTTATAAACATCCTTTTCTGGTCTTTAGCTAATGCCCATTTCCATCAGTGGATAATAGAAATTGCCTTAGTATTATGATCTTGTATTCTGTGCTCTCTGAAGGTAAATCTCTGATGTCTCCATGAGTGTCACTATATTTACTGTCCTGCTCCCTAATTTTATATTTGGAAGATGCATTCCTTAGCTTTCCTGCTACGAAAAACCTTATTTTTCGTTCCAGGTACCTAGTACTAAGTGCCTTAGCAAACATCCCAGCCCATCCAGAAGCTCTTAGTTGTAGATGATCAAAAACAATAGTGCAGATTTGTGGAGGGTATGTTTTGAGTACTAAGATTTTGTGCCAGACTGAGCAACTGGGCCATTCCATGACTTGTGATAATTATCTAATCAATAATTCTCACCCTACTCCATTTTCCCTCATGTCACTTTTCATTTCTGGGGAGTAGGATTCATTCATCAGTTTGGGAGCTTTACCTTAGTGACAGGCTGTAATTCTGAAGAAATGAGTACAATGGATGATTGTTAGTCCCAGAGGATGTACCAAATAGTTCCTCTTTGGCAACTACTTGCATAAAAGGGATTTATTTATTTATTTATTTAT